GTGTGTGTGTTAGAGGACAACGCTTACATCAACTTCAGCATTTATTCACAAGCAAAAAGACCACAGTGTTCTCAAACTGTCTTCTGTACTGCATGGGTGCCTGCATCAACTGGTCAAACTCAGAAAGCCAATGTGGGTTTACAAAAAAACACCTATAAAGGAATTAGAACGTCCTTTTTCTTTTCTTTTCATTGCTGTTGTTGGTTGATTCATTTTTTTTGTTTGCGTCGGCCCGGGAGTGTGGGATTTCAGATCTCTGTGCTGTAACATGGTTGGACTGTGACAGACACCTAAAGCGTTGGCACTCGACTGGCCCCATCACAACAGCGACTCATGACGAGGAGGAGAGGTGTATGCAGGGCCTGTAGACCGTCGAACCGCCTCTTAGCGCCAACACAAGATGGAGCACGGAGCCTCCCTGGATCTTGTAGTCTGCAGCTGTCTTCTCATCGTTCCTGGGAGCAAAAGAGGATAATTCAGAGAGGACTTGAGGAGGAGGAAGAGCATTTCGCAGCTACCACAGAGCAAGATGATTCACAATGGAGGAACTCACATCTGTTTTCCACTGTAGATAAGTCTTTGTTGCTGCGGGGGGATCCCTTCCTTCTCTTCCACCCTCTCTTTAATTCGCTCCACCTTTGTTTCCACAAAAACGACACATTTAGAAATCATACAGCGTCTTGAAAGTAAACAGTACACAGTACAGTATCTTACAGTCAGTTATATTTCACCTTGTCTGTGGGCTCAATGTCGATCTCTATTTCTTTTCCAGTGAGAGTCTGAAACATAATGTTAACATGATGGCATTAACACCAGCATTGGTTTCTGAACCGACACATACAGTCTGCAGCAGAACTGTTCAATCAACACAGGACAGGATTCACAGAAAAAAGACTTTTCATAGCAGTCTAAAACTGTGACACTAAATTCAGTGACCCATCAGATTTTGTGACCTAATTGGGAATTTCAGGAAGTGTTTTCAGCATGGCCACACACTGGCAGTAGTTAGCTAAAAGGGTTCCATCAGGGATATTTAGATTAGAGATCACTGCCATAGCTAGAGTTGCAATTATTTCCATTATACAGTAAATATTTTTTACTAATATATTAATTGGTAGTCTATAAAACACAAAATAATGAAAAAAGCCACAATTTACTAGAGCCCAAACGTACGTCCTCGTCTGATAAATAGTTCAAACTCAAAGATATTCAGTTTACAATTGAACAATAAAACAATGGAACCAGAGAATATATGGCATATATATATATATATATTTGCCTAATAATCGCCCAAAACAAGTGATCCATTATTCCCGAGCCTTCGCCGAATCGTCCAGCAGTAACAGGAGAAAGTGTTGTCCAGCAGTGCTGTCTGTGGTTTGCTGTGGAGCCGCACAGAGGGTCTCAAGGGTCGGACATGTTGCTGCAGCAGCGCGCAGGGAGCGGCTAACCTGCTCTGCTGAACTCAAGTTAGCAAGCTACCAAACAACAGCTACTGACTAAACTAAAGCAGCATTTCAACAGCTGAACGGCAGCTCCTTTAAATACTGAGCCGACCCAGACAGAAATGTTGAAGCACAGAATGACATATAGGCAAGTTAGAATAAAACAAGCCCCTGCCGCCCCTGCCGCCCCCCCACACACAAATAAATGTAGCGAGCCGGTGATGTTAGCGGGCTACCCGACAACAGCAGCTAGGAGCCGGGGGAGGAGGAGGACACCATACAATGCTCTTACCTTGACTTTGATCAGCATGTTGAATAGACAATATAGTACAGGTCGAAACGAAACTGTTTACTGATCAAACACTTGGTACAGCAGCGAATTACAACCTCACTTGTCTGGCTGACTTGAATTCACTTCCTGTGTACAACGCTAAGTGGTCCGGGCGGTGCGGCGTCGCGGAACCACTCTTCCGTGTGGCTGGAAGAGTGGTTCCGCTCTGATGAAACTCTCAGCAGCTTTCTTATGGACACAAATATTTACATCCTTCACTTAGGAAAAACTAGAACTGTAACGCTGTAAAAACGCCCCACTGCAATTAAAAGTAAACATTTACTTAAGTGAAAATATCATTATAAGGTATATATTTATTATATTATTAAGTATTATCAGCAAACTAAGTCTTTCAGAGTGCTATTACATTACTGTATCATTTACTGATGCAGTAACATGTAAGCTTCTTGATGTTGCCGCTGATCCAAGTGGAGCTCATTTTACCTATTTACCTCACTGTTTAGTAGCTTAATCTCTAATCATTGTATTTTTTCATAAAGTGATCAGGTTTTGTCGGCAATCACCTTTTAAAGTAATGAATAACTAGCTATCAAATAAATGCAGCAGAGTAAAAAGTACAGCATTTGCCTTGAAATGTAGTAAAGTTGAGGTATAAAGTATGGTAAAGTAAAATGAAAGCACAAATAAATACATTAGAAAATATACTTTAGTACAGTACTTGACTAAATGTACTTAACTATGAATTTGAAATTGTGACAGTGACACAATAACAGCCCAGCTGAAGTACAAACTAACTAACTAAATGCTGTCCTGCTCCCACACACCTGTTGATCATTCAGCTGATTTGGCAGGAAGTCTACAAAATTTGGTCTGCACCACCATGATGTGATCATTCAGTCATGGGGACTCAGCTTTACCTGTGCGTGATAATCATTGCTGTTTATGCATCAGCAGTTGCCAATGCAGGTATTCTTTGCATATGCATGTAGAAATGTGTGTGTACGTTTTTACAGCAGCCTTTCATGTACAGAAACTGGAAACCTCTGAATCCTCATTATCTGTTTGCAGAGATCGAAGTAGTTTGTGCAAAAGACTCAGTAAGAATCACCTGGAAGATCAGTGCCGAGTTGGTGCCATACGCAGGTCGTCTCTTCCTGGGAAGCTGCATGCCATCTAAGTTGACTGTTTTGTCCACCGGACAGGGAGAAGTGCTCTTCAACTACAAGTTTTCTGACTGCAAATTTAAAAGACAGGTAATGTAAATGCTATATTTGCTATATTTGACTAAATGCCACGCAGCCTCTGAAGTGTCTTTAATGACCTGTTCTTCTACAGATCAAAGGAAAACGTCTCCTCTATCAAACTGAGCTGACTTACAGGCCGCAGCCAAAGTCCAAACCTGCAGCCTTTGTGTATCCTATTGAGTGTGTTTATGAAAGGTAAGAGTATCTATCTGAGCTGGGCTCTTAATACAACCCAACAGATGGTCACATAATCTATTTTAACCCCATCGCTGGCTTCTTGTTAACTTTAGAATTGATTTTAAAATGTGGTGCTCTCCTAAAAATCTGTTTAGACATGCATTTATGTAATTCTTTGTTTTATCCTATTTATTTTCACCTTTTTTGTATATGTTGTCTGGTGTTTTTATATTTGATTCCCTTGGATTTTATTTGTATTTAATTGACTGTGAAGCACTCTGTGACTGGTGTCTATGAAAGGTGCTATATGAAGAAACATTTCTAGCTTTCTGAATGAAATTCCAGTTTAAAAGCTGAAATGTGAGGTGAGCTGAGCTATTACATTTCAGACCTGAGAGGTGGATTCCCCCTTTCCTGAACCCTGGATCAGGTACTTCTGAAGGTCGAGGAGGGCTGGTCTTCCACATGGCACTCCTCAATGGTGAGTTCTCACATTACTAAATAAATGCAACATGAGGATACTCAAAGACCCATCCTAAGCTGTTTTTATTTCCCCCCACAGAGCAATTAACAAATGTAGCAAAGACAAATGTCATCCCCCTGGGCTCGTTCATGCCAATATGGGCGGCAGTGGAGCAGAAGTCTCATCAACCCTTGCTGCTGCTCATGGAGGAATGTGTGGCAGCCAGTACACCAGAGCTGCAGCCTAGCAGCCAGGTTTACCCCATCATCAGCAATAAGGGGTAGGATTCAGACTTTGGTCAATTTCAATGGTGGTTCCAGAATAGAACATGCTAATCTGAGATTTAAATTTCTTCAGGTGTCTTTTGGAAAGCATGGTGGGAAACTCTGTGTTCCTCCCTCGGTACCACTTGTCTGCACTCATCCTTTACCTGCAGTCCTTCAAGTTCGGTCTTCGAGAGGTGAGTGTGTAAATGTAACTGCTATAAGGAATATTTTGTACGCAACACACTTTTACTGTGTGTTCTGTCCTCTACAGGTGTACATTCACTGTAAGCTGGTTGCATGGGATCCTGAGGTTGTTGACGAAACCAAGAAAGCCTGCAATTATGTAAAGGAAGATGGGAGGTAAACATGCATAATACAAAATAAATGTAAAACAAGTTGTGGCATTAACAGGAAGTTGTTTGGTGACTGCTGAGCCAATGGCATAAATTTGGAAATGGCTAGCGTCCAGTCTTTATGCTTATCTAAGCTAATTGCCACACAGCTATAACTCCAAACTTAACATACACTACCAGTCAAAAGTTGGACACACAGCTTACTCCATTTAATTGGTTTTTCTCTTATTTTTCATGACTTGATTTATACATTGTAGATTCTTCACTGAAGGCAATCAAAACTATGAATGAACAACATGGAATTAGTAGTAACACAAAAAGTGAAATAACTCAAAACATGTTTTTAATATTTTAGATTCCCTCAAAATGGTCCACCCTTTGCTTTGATTACTG